AACATGCTGCCAAGTGAATATTCTGTTCCAAACTCCAAATATATTTTATATGAATATTTATTTCAGAATATCACCAAAAACATGCCTTATTTTAGCGTTTCAATCACGAAAAAAAGCTAAAAAGTCCCAGAAATTACTTTAAATGCATGTTTATGCCCCAAAACAAGCTGCCAAGTGTATAAACTAATGAGCTCTCACCTGGTGTCGGGCAAGACCTGGTGCTTGCACTTTGTAGAGAATTGTAACGAGGAGACATCCATGAAGAAGACGGCACATTATTATCGCGGGTACAAATTTACAGTTTTTGTTTTTTAAGCGTGTGTGCGCGCAGTCGTGTATGAAATTAAATAATTAAATCTTTTCAGACCCATATCGCCATCAACTCGGCTGGTGGACTCCACGCCAATAAGTGCGAAGCACCTGGTTTCTATTACGTAAACGAGATCGTTTCTATTACGTAAACGAGATCGTTTCTATTACGTAAACGAGATCGTCATTTTTTAGTTGCTCAAGTAAGAAAAGAAACATTTCAATTCATTTTTGTTTTTTATTTTTTGTTTTTTTGTCACCGGAAATGAATTTTTTGGACAGTGTAAAGAGTATTGTGAAATGTTGACAGGGCATCGGAGCCTGAAAGAGCAAATACGACTCAGTGAATTACCCACGAAGCCATCTTTAAACCGGTAAGTCTGTTTTATTGTGGATGTGATTGAGTTTTTTCCCTAAGTTCTCTGTGGACAAGTTTTATTTTATTATTAATATGCGTCTTGTGTTTAGATCATGGCCAAAGTAAAGCGATATCCCAGACGACGCAGTGGTCCTTGAGTGTGGAGCCGGTTCAACGTCACTATCAAAGAAAGGAAATGGATTTAAGCCTTTCACGGGTATTGACTAAAGAGTGACACCAACTGGACAAATCTAGTACAGACAAGCTTGACTACAACCAGAACAAGTAGTAGTGTTATTGCATTTACTTTGTCTTTGCAGAAGTGATAGAGGAAGAGGAACAGTGTTGGTTTTGACTTTGTCCAAATAAAGTATTTTTATGTTACTTGAATGTGAAATTCTTTAGAGTACTAAGTAGTGGCACAAAGCAAATGAGTGGTTTGCTTAAGTAGATTGTAGTGGTTAATTGAAGCGTTTTGTAACATGCTAGAGCTAAACACTTTGAACAGGGTGTAGTCATCTGAGAGCATTTGTGTGGAATGTTGTCTTTATTTTATCTTGTGTTTCAGGCCAAAAGAAGAGGTTAAACCAAGTTGTTCCACTCCTAATGATGGGACCTTTGTTGAATCCTGTGAACACGTGGTTGACAGAAGTAGTGTTGTGATATGTAATCTGTCCATCTTTACCTGGTGTTAAAATAAAGCTAAGACTTACTGTTGTAATTTGACATGAATTGTTTTTAAATGTTTATCTATGGACTTGATTGACTGATTGAATGCATGTTTTGTAAATGAAGTGTTTTGCTATTAAAAGTAAAAGTTGCTGTTTTTCAGTTCATTGTGGAAGTATTCTGGTTGTTTTTTCAACAACTTTAAGTATTGTGGTTAGCTTTTTTAACTTAGTTTTAGCTTACTTTTACTAGTTAGTTTTTACATAACTAAGTAACTAACCAAGCCAAAAAAACTAAGTCAAACCTTACCCTTGACTTTGACAATGGTAAACTCCATTCATTTTTGCTCAATGTAATATTTGCACAGTGCGCACACAATGGTCCAACAACTTTCTTTATTCTGGAAGGTTTACAACAGTTAACTACAGCTCACAATGAAAGTGCAATGGCCATAAAAAGACTTACTGTTAAGTATCTGATTAAGGCACAATGAATGGAATGAGCTGAATAACACACACACATACAATTGCAAGGTTCGAGGTCACTGTTGATCTCCTAGGATACACATTGCACAGCGACAAATTATCACCTTACCTGATCCACGATGGGAGAAATGACGGCAGAGTTCACCGGTCTCTCGGTTTTAAAAGTCTTGATGTGATCCAGAGAGGCACAGTCAAAGAGCTGCAAAGACAACACATGGCAGTCAGTCATTTGCACACTATGTACAGCAGTGATCATCAACTGGCAGTCCACGTCTTGGATTCCAAACAAACATTAAATAATAATTTCATTTTTACTCCACACTATCTGGGTGGCTGACGTAGAGCCTTTAACAGCCTCACACAGTCAGCTTTCAACTAAGCAAACTTTTATTCAAGCGCTCATCTCTCTTCAAGGCCTTAAAGACACAGTCAAGTCACTTAGCTTTATTGGACTGCAATCTGTCAACATTAAAAAGTAACACAAAACCATAACAGCCAGTTCGTGTCAAACTGTACCATCATATCTCCTAAGATGTACTTCAAATATTCTTAAGTCTATTTCCGTATAAGTACAACAAGTCAGTGGATTCACATTACGAGAGGTCTGTAGTGTGAACAGATTGCCTAGACTGAAGGAAAATGTCATTGTAAATGAATGAACAAGTGGACACACCTACTACTGTGTGGTTTTTTGTGTATCTTCTTATAACCCCCAGCAATTTTTACTTCAGTTCACATACTTGTATAACACTATCACAACTATCACAACCTCAACCTAACGACCCATCAGACTCCTAACGACTGTTAACACTTCCCCAGATGACCCTGAAGTCGCTTTATTTTTTGTCCCGCCCACAGTATATATTTGCTGTACTCCCCTCCACTAGTTAGAACTGAAGAAGCCTCTTGGGTGAAAGGCGAAACGTCTTCTTGAGAAAATTTCACTTCCAGTTGCCTAATAGAACTCTTCAACCTTGACCTGGATGACTGAGAATCTTCATAGACAACTCTTTTCTTTATTCACCTTCAAAAACTAAAAATGTAGGTTTAATTTGTAACGTTAAAAACAAAACTCTTCTTTGGGCGTTCTCCTTGATGGCCAGCCAGATAACATTTTTCAACAACTGTTATCACATTAATCATTTACATAAGAGTTCTCACCTTGGAGGTGTTGTCATTTGAGGCACTGATGAACATGGTGAGGTCTACAGACGTTCGTGGCCCTGCAGTAGGGTGGGTTTCTGTACAGAAAAGCAATATTTGCAAGTTTATTTCATATTTTCAAACATCTGTACATTTTCTTCATCTCTTTCTTTTGTTTAGATGAAGACAACAGTTACTGGATGCTTTACTCAACCACACAACAATGCTCTGGAAACATCACTTCAACTATACAAACGTTCCAATATCAGCGCATCCCTACAGTTGACTGCTGACATTCACATTCTTTTTTTTTGAGTTTAGTCTCTTAGAACATTTTCTTTGATAGAAAGAGCATGCTTTGACGACTAACAGAAAATTGGTGAAATTTTACAAAAATAAATAATTTAAATACAAAATAATTTCAGATAGATTTTAGTTAATAGTCATTTCATATATATATATATATATATATATATACACACACACACACACATACATGCAGGGCCAGAGTGGGCTCCAAAACCTAAACCTAGCCCACTTTGCTCTGGAGGAGGAATTTGAATAAATGAAACAGCAGCTAGCTCTTACAATGCCTTTTTTATTGGCTATAAGTAAACAGAAAACACTTCACTTTCACAATGATTACTTTTAAATCAAAATCAGATAATTATTTTAAAGGTAAAAAAAATCTGATAAAGAAAATGTATCTTTGTAGAGGAACAGTCATTTGAAAATTGCATTTGCCTTATCTGCTACATGCATATTTAGTAAGCTACTTTCAGCATCAAAATCCTCCTAAGCAAAGCACTGATCTCTGCAAGTTTACTAATGACAATGTCATTGTATATAGACATGAGAATTTTCTTCTCTGTGTACATTAACATGAAGGCCTCCAAGAGTTCCTGATACAGTGAGCTTCGTAGCACATTTTAATGCAGAGAAGCTCCGCTCACATGCAACTTGAGTGCCTGAAAGGGTCAACAGAAACTTATATGCCAGCCTGATTACATGGTAAGCATCTGTCAGGAGGTTATATTGTGTAAGGATCAGATAAACACAGACAACAGTTTCTGCAAGAAGAGCAGGTCTCAAGCTCAAACCAGTGATGAGGTTAGAGGCTGGTGAGGCACTGACTTCTCTGGAGTCAGATTTACAATGTTAAGAACCGAAAAAAGCATCTTATTTCACTATTCATCCAACTGCATCACCTGGTAATGCTTCATATCCATCAGCATTTTTCTTTCAATTCCACTTACACCAATACGAACAAACATAGAAACATATTTTTTATAGAAATGGATGGAGCACCCTTCTTGTGTCTAGGCAATAATATTTACTGTAAACTACAGAGAGAAGTGCAGCACAAATTTAATTTTGATCTTCAGACACCCACTTGAGGCTTCTTGCTGACCTTTCTCTGCACTTTCTTGTAAGATCAGCAGGACCAATTCTCTTGCACACACATTAAAGACATTACACAGACCGTGGAGAGTCATGCTGCGTAACAAATATTTCTGTAAAGTTCATATGGGTCATATGCTGAGGAACAGAAACAACCCAGTTTGTATTGAATCGCACAGCTCTCCACTGCCTCACCCAGGATTTCTGCCCTGTATTTGATCGCGATATACTATAAACATATTTGGCTATTTTTACTTATTAAAATGTTGAAAATGTGTAGAGTCATACTGAAAATGCATCTTTAACACAGATCAGTGGAAAACATTAATAATTATCTTACGTACTTTTTTCTTTATCATGATGGAAGGGCAGGCAGCACCTCCCCTGACCGCACATCACTGGCTCAAACTCTGTCTCCATATATGACATCTCTCTATCCTCCTCAACTGTCTGTCACCTCTCTGTGCCACGTGTGGGAATGCACGGTGGGAGAGCCAGATTTACTAAAGAAAGTTACACTGTTAATGTTGTGGAGATAAAGCGTGAGTTGTGGCTAAACAGTGAGACAGGGCTACTGTTCATCAATAAAGCTTCACTGAAGTGTAAAGCAAGTGTCAGATTCTTACAATATATTACACTTCTAAATTATATATATAGATTTTTAACATGTCTGTTAATTGCTGCTAAGTGAATAATTTGTGCTAAAAACTCATTAATAGATTCATAAAATTAATTAATAAAAACACAAAATGCTGAATAAATACAATTGTATAAAAGCTTGTGTGGGGGTCACAGATTGATCCGATTAAGCCTGGAAACAGCTCAGTGCAGTCATCATGTAATCATCTCATCTTCTATTTCGCTCAAGGCCACTTTAGCAGCAGTGCTATAGGAGGTCAAGGGTCAGTGTGCTCAGTGTCTGGGCTCCTCCTGGTTCCACAGAAAAAAAACACAAAGATTAACTCGACACTAGTGAACATTAGTTGCCATTTGAATGAGGTTGTTTCAAATTAAGTGGAAAGTGTTTGGATAAATTTAATTTATCCAAACAATTTAATCACCATAACATTGATCCACTGTGCATCAGAGTAGATGTATAGAGCTCGTCTGTCCGTCCTCAGCACCATCACGTTCTCTCCTCTCAGCCTTCTCATCTGTTTATCCCCGTCTGCCAGGAAGATCTAAACAGAACAGTTTATTTGTATAATTTTCTCTCTGTCCTGGCAGCTTTGTTTGGAAATATCAAATCAATTATCCTATTTTAACATATAGTATTTGTTGAGCACAGTTTTATCCACAAGAGGGAGCTGTTTAGTCATAAGTAAACGACACCCAAGTGAACCAATTTAAAAAAATTAAACTAATTTAAAGACTTAACATGTAAAGCAGATTTTTTATTCAAGTTAAAATCTATATTTTGGTTAAATTATGTAAAATTATGTATTAAAATAAAATAAAAAATAATACATTATTAGAAGTAAGAAAATTCAAATATTAAAAAAAATATCACAATAAAATACAGCAGATGGTTTTTGTAAATTAAATTCAAATAAGTCATAATTACTATTATGCTTCCAAAGAGGATTCACATTTAACTTGATGAGATCAATTTAATGTGGACTAGGTTGGACCATTACTATGTGAACCCTGTGTGTGTGTCACTGACTGTCTGCACTCTGTCCAGTGGTTCTGGGTTTTGAACCCGTTGTGGCGTTAAACAGTCACATCTCCCTGGATCCCCTGTTTCTCCTCTGAGGCCTGGGAGGATGAAAACTAAAAAACACATAATCAAAAGTCAGACTGTTGTATATTGATGGTGAATTATTTCAGTAATAATCTAATAAAACCTTGTCCAGGAAGTCCAGGGTGTCCATTCAGACCCCCTGCTCCAGATAGACCAGGATGACCCATCAGTCCTGAAGGTCCACGAGATCCTTTCACCCCCTACAGACAGAGAGGTGGCTTTGAATTTCTTTTAAAACAAAAAAGTAATATTGTTTTTTTTTTGTATTTTTTATATATAAATATATATAAAAATTCAACAAAACATCTGAAAGGTTAGCAAAAATAAAGCTAAACCAACAAACTTCAGTCTGTTTCTGTATCCATGCAACAGCATAAAACAATCAAAAGTTAATTTTGAAATCCAAAAGCAAATTTTCCAATGGTCCAATCGATCCACCCAATAATTTTCCAGTTCATCTCCAGTCAGAGGGTTCTTGTCAGCAGATACACACGTTAATCTAGAACAGCAGTTCTCAAATAGGGTACAAGATATACTCCTGTGACACTTTGGCCTCCTGTAGTGGTATACAGTGGAATCTGATTTTTTTTGTTGGAGAACCACAAATATACACATATATCCTCCTTACTACATAATAACTTGGTGCATCTGTTTTGCTTACCATGGCTCCTCTGCTTCCTGGTTCTCCTCGGGGTCCCTGCGCCCCCCTCTGGCCGGGGTCACCCTGCACACCCAGGTTTCCCTTAAACAAAAATCCCAAAACACATCAACACTTTTGCAGTTCACTTTAAATTAGTATTCAGCGAGTAAAGCAGTCCTTCACCTTCACTCCAAGCCGTCCAGGGATTCCATGTTCTCCCTGAAGAAAACAGTGATTCCATGCCATTAATTTGTATATTTTTAATTTTAAGACAAAGAAAATGATTGATGACAGATGATGATTAAAAAAGTAAGCAACACAAGTCTCACCTTTTCTCCACTGGTTCCTCTCCTTCCTTTAGCACCTTTATTACCCTAGAAGAGAGATCAATACATGGAAACCTCATGTATTGACAATAGTAAACAAATGTGGATTTTGTTTTTTATATGGTTTCTAGTTCGGAGACAGAGATAACTGTCTTAAAGAAAGGTGGCTGAGTGAGTGGTGGAAGACATGAAGATGCTGAAATTTTGGCTGGAAGTGACCAGGATGGACAGGATTAGACAGGAACAGTTTGGACATGTGCTGAGGAGGCACAGTCAGTATATTGGACAAATGGATGTTGAGGTTGGAGCTGGAGTGTTGGAGGACATAGGGAAGGATGATGGAAGAGAAAAAGAGAGACAAGAGATCTGCTGAGATGGAGGCAGATGATCAGATGGGATGCTTCATAGAAGGAGCAAAAAGAAAGAAGATGCAGAACAAATATCACCTACTCTGAATCCTCTAAATCCTTTGGTGCCCTGTGGGAACAGATATTAATAAAACTTAGCCCAGAAACAGCTAATGTGAGCTAGAATAAATAGCTAAAATATTTTTCTAATTCCCTCAGAAGCTTCCAAAACATTCCTATCAACTACTAATAAAAGATCAAAATAACAAAATTGGAAGTTTTAATCATGTCTACAGATGTTTGTGTGCTGACATTTTCTGATAATGTACCTTTATCATCCCAGGAGTTCCTATGTCTCCGTACAGACCCCTCCATCCTCTGTTTCCTTTCTCTCCCTGCAGAGAGGAATTACTTTAGCCCAAATTAGATAAATAAATATACCAAAAAATAAATATATATATGTAAGTTCACTGTAGCAGGATAAGAATCACAAAAATAGGGATGACAGAATAAAACAATTATAGTTCCCAATTTGAGATTCCACAGCTGTGCTATTTTCAATGCTAATAAACTGCAGTGTGTTAGAAGATGAGGTTCAGTATGTCCTAAACCCATTCTGGACTGTGGTGATGATAGAAGGTTCTGCTGTGACCTTTGGACCTGGTGGTCCCATCACCCCTTGTGCTCCTGGTTCTCCCTCTGGACCCGTCACACCAGGTTTGCCCTAAAAACAAACACAACACAGACTTTTTCCTTTGATAAAATAATGTCTAACATACTGTAGTTGTAGCCAGTTAAGTCGGTGCAGTAAATGTGGCTGTGTTGCTGTTCTAAGAACATACAGATTAAGGCTAAATGCAGTAAGCTACAAAAAGTAGGCATGCAAGTTAACCAACATGTTAAGGTTAGCACAAACTAAATAAACAACCAACAAAGTTGCCAAAATAATACAGCAAATATTATACAACCAGTTCTTGAATTTAGTTTACCTGAATGTTTTGAAAGAAATATGTTTTAACAAAACAAAACAAAGTTGCTAGATTTTACAACTGTATTGTTTTTATATTAAAAACCCAGTGCAGAAAAGCCAATGGTTAGATTATAGCATAGTGCTGTAAATAAATCTAACCAATGTAAGTCATTAAAGAGCTAAAACAAAATAACAATAATAATCATAATAAAAATGAATGAGACAAAATGTGTGTGTATTTCAGTTACCTCAGGTCCCCTGGCTCCTCTACAGCCCTTTACAAAAACATAGAATACATTGGAACAAGTATGTTTTACACAATGCAATTATATTAATATGTGTTAAAATAAATAAATAATCCACATTAATAGAGGGTTATTGAACTTGCTTAACAGTCCAGTAAAACATACAGTAAGAAGCTGTCATGGCCGACTACCTTTTCACCTTTAGGTCCTGTGATATAGTCTGTGATATCAACCTGAGAATCAAAGACAGAAACGAGAAACTGTTTAATCTTCATGCTGCTTTTTAGGACGTCTGCTTTGCATGCGCGTGTCTGTCTGTAAGTTATGTGTGTGTGCTTGTCACCATCAGTTCCGCTCTATGTGGGAGAGGAGGAAACGGTGGCGGAGGAAGAGGTGGAGGAAAAAAAGAGTCACATTTGTGAACAAACCACCTGCTGTTTCTGCCAGAAGGAACACCTGCGGATGATAAAACACGTGACTGTCAAACAACTCATTGCTGTCGCTAGTAGATAATAGCATAGCATGTTACCTTGTCAGAACTATCATCAGCACGTCCAGTAGGCTACTAACCAGCGATCAACTTTCAGTGACACCTTGTTAAAAAAGTGAGACTTAGCGTCTTAATTTCAAAACCCCACAGCGTACGACCGTTTGACTCGTTCATAAAACGGCTAGTTTCATTTATTAGCACAAACAATATACAGTTCCTGCTCAGCAGTGTTGCCAGATATCAACCTTATTTTAGTTCTGTTTGAGTAAAACCATAGTACTCACCTAATGTTCATACTGATGTAGCTCATGTACATCTTAATTAATGCACTGTCACAGACTGGGTACATTAAAGCCTAAAACGCAGTTTTTGCTACAAAGGTGCTGCGGACTCCTCATTGTTTGCGCCTTAGGCCATTCGTTGATTGGCTGTGAATCGTCGAGTAAGACGATGCTGCGACTCAAGCGGAATATCCGTATCCCGTTGGGTTAATCATAAAATATTATCATAAAGTGGTTAAATTGTCAGTTTTAGAACTACTGATTTAACAGACGGTCAAATTAACATACAAATTAGACATTGCATCACGTGCCTCTTTACCACCAATCAATGCACACGGTTACGTAGCGACAATGTGAGTACAGGTAGACTGATACGTTACAACATGCACTGACGACGATCATTTATTGTTTTGTTTTGCACTGACGACGATCATTTATTGTTTTTGTTTTTGTTTTGTTTTTTGACACAATGAGTAAATACCTCCTAAAAATGACTGCGAAAAGAATACGAACACAAAACGACAAAATACAAATTTTGTTTTGTGCTATGTACTTGAGATTGAGAACATAGATTACAGACAATGTGCTTTATCTGGGATTTTCTCTAAATTGGATCTCAAAATTGGCAATTATATTACATACTATCAACTTTTTTAGGTTTTTTTAAGTGCTTTTTAATGTAATGCATTTTGATTTATTGTTAGATGATACATTAATGTAGCATTTTTAGGATATCACTTCTGCAACATGATCATGGTGTTTAGTTCTTATTCATAATATTTAATTTGCACCTACTGGTTGTGATGAATGGAGCAGCAAGTCGAAGGCCACTGAGCAATGCAGTCCATCGTAGAACCAGTGGAGTCAGCATCTCCTGTCCTGTAACCTGTTAAAGATGGTGATCCATAAAGCAAAATCTTACCACGTTAAACAACAACAAGTGTGAATGGAGAGAAAATTATCTAAACCCTGAAGGTAAAAAGGTCAAAAGGTAAGGAGAGAATCACAAGTCCAGAATTAATGCACATTAATGCAAAACAATCCTAAAAAGATGATGATTCACAAACGATGAACCAACTTTATCCCCTGCTCTCCGGACCCTTTACCTGTTGTGTTCACGGGCTCTTCCTGTGGCCTCTTTGTGTCTTACCTCAGATGATCTCAGTTTCCCTATCCCTCTTCCCAGCTCTGTGGGTGAAAATGTGTGTGTGCGCGTGTGAGTAAGAGGACGATCTTGTCCTGCAGTGGACAGACATTTCCTCAGTGGTGCCTGTCCTCCTGGTCAGTGTCCAGCAGAGCTGGAGACCAAACTGCTTTGCTTGCACGCCTGCTTCGACTTATCTGGATATAAAGCCTGGAAATGCAGTGCATGCAGCTGCTGGCAGCCTTCAGCAGAAATAATCAGATAATTAGTTGAAGTGGGAGCCAAAGAGAGGACTGCTGCCCATCAGGGTCTCACTGAAGAGGAGGAGACTGTAAAATCAGACCACAGCATCTTCTGTCTCATTTCGTTGTTACACAGGCTTTTTGAAATTTTAGACCCCGACATAAGAAATTGGCTAACTGTGACATGTGAGTAAAATCTAATGCATCAAACCTACCTAATAGTATTGTATTTTTAAAAAATAATTCAGGGATTTGAGTTGATGCTGCAGCTATACACTACTCACATTCATATACTGTATATATTCTCTATCTCTCTCTCTCTCTATATATATATATATACAGTATATGATCTATATATATATACACATATACACAGATATACTCACGTACTGTATATATTCTCCATATATATAGACATTTATATACATGCTGTACTTATGAAATTGTGATTGTGCTTTAGTTATGCAGCATTCAACAGTCAAAAGATTGATCAACGTACGTTGTAAAGATTAAACAAACCCTGTTGGCACAATCCGTGCAGTACAGGAGCATAAACAGGAGTATTATCAGCCACCGTGTCACCTAGACCTAAAGGACAACAACACAGGGGTTAAAATGAAATTTAGCAATGATTTAGCAATCTAAATCAACTGACATTTATTTAGTCTAAAATTCAAAAACCTCAGTAATAATGCTAAGTTTGACATACAGAGCAAAAGTTGTTAACTGAGGGTAAACTGCTCACAAATGAAACCCAAAACTAACAAGTTGAGCCAGAAAATCTTACCACGTTAAACAACAAAGTGTGAATGGCGAAGATGCTAGAAAAGTAAATTAGTCATAAATCAAACCACAGCAAATAAAGAACAACTAAATGTTTGTCTGAATGGAATTTGAGATAATAAAGCTAACAAACTGACCTGAACCAAGCTTATACTAAATACACATTTAAAAAGAAAGGCCCCTCAGAGAGAGAAATTAAAGTTGTGACAATAACGTTTTAAAAATAGGAACTTTTAATTGAGATATTCACAAAAACACAGATGTGTGACATGTGCGTCACTTTCAGTATAGTACAAATTTCATAATCATTATCAGAAACTGACAACAAAACAAATGAAACTGCCCAAAACAAACAAAAAAAGATTTAATTTTAAACTTTCATTCTTGAAAAATAAGTCGCTGCTGCAGCTTCTTTATCCTGATTTCACTGATAAAAAAAAAATCCCAACAGAGACGGAAGAGCTGAACATCAACTGCACAATTAAAGTTCAAATGTGTGCAGACAAGTTGGAATCAAATGTCGCACAAAGAAATTTACAACACTGATGAGTTCAATTGTAAGCAGCCTAAAAACAGGAACAGGTGAATGGAAGTGACAAAAATATGTACAGAGATTAAGATCAGGTCTTTACTACATATACGTCTAGAACTATTTAAAAATGTCTAAACATTTCTAACAGCACTAATGTGTGATGGTGCTTCCCCCTATTAAAAATCATCAAAGATAAAAATGACTCTTAGTTAATGAATCTTTTTTGAGGTTGGATCATTTCATCCACAGTCACTTCAGGACATGTAAGTGCACACTCTCCCTCATAGTGGTCTAGTAGAAGCGTCATTTTTTTCACTTACCGTCTGACACAGTCGCGTTTGGAGCTCCAACACCACGCGATTCATCAGACCGCCCAGATGACTGTGCATCTGAACCAGTTGCTGCGGAGAGCAGCGCCCTAGTTCTTCAGCGGTCATCCTGCAGGTGAGGGCCTCCACCTCAGACAAGAGTCCATCGGGTGAAAGTTTATCTACTGTCAGGATGTCAGGAGTCTGAATGTCGGAGGTGGCTACCGCTGCCACGTTCTCCTCCTCTTCTTCTTCCTCCTCCTCCATCTTCTCTTCCTTTTCCTTCTGTTGTTCCTCAGAATTCATATCAGCACTCTGCTAACGCTGTAGCTGCAAATACAAATGTTTTCACTTTTTAATGGGTCAAAGTTCAACAATTAAAATTTTAAGAATGCAAACCTTTCCCAAGGACAATAATCCATGCACCTTTCAGAGATATTTTTAAATCTTTACCCTAAAACAGGTGTTGCTATTTCCAACATTGCTTTACACTGATGTCCCATAAATTTGACTGGTTATTGTTATTGTTCACCACACCTTTACTTAGTGGTTGTTCCCTTCAGGCCCATCTCACCGTATACTAATTACACAATTTTTTTTTTCCATTCTGAAACGTTCAGCACCAGTGATGCCTTAACTGTTCAAGGTCAAAGTCGTAGTAAAGCATTCAATGTCCAACCAGCAGACAGCCAGTATCTTTAGATTAAAGCATGGCTGTTTTTCTTTTATTAATAAATCAGTCTTTAAACATTTCTGTTATGGACCAAAGGCTTTAAAATAGGGGTGAGCCGACTGATAGACACCAATTTCCTCAATTGGAAAAAAAAATCAGTAGAAATCATAATTATACTAAAAATTGCAATCGGTGCACCTCTAACTTAAAATAATCTTAGGGAGGCTTACAGTGATATCAATCATCAAAAAAACCTTTCCTAGAAATAATCTGTCTAATCCCCATTCATTACTCACCCAGTGTCTCAGCTGAGTTTTTGTCTTCACCCTCATTCTGAGGAGCAGTGGCCTCATCCGGCTCGGAGGTCAGAAGCTCCGTTTCATGAAAACTTTTCAAGTCATCACCATTTCGACTTTTACGCTGGAAGAGGAAAAATGAGTGACGGTAGAATAGCAGAGGTAAAATCATTTTTTTTCCAGGTGAGATCCTGCTGCGGCTGCTTGTTACCTGACTTACCTGTTGTTCGTAGATTCTAAGTGCCTTCTTCACATTGGAGATCTTGGGGGAGCGTACAGGCAGAGTTTTGATTTCAGTAGGAGTGAGAGCGCTGAGGTCACCCACAGTTTTGATGTTTTTGGCTCTAACCAGCTGTCCAAACCCACGACACCTGTTACCAACAATTATGATGAAACACTTTTTCACTTGGACCTTATTTAAAATACACTATGTTTTTTTCTACCCAGTTAATGCTTCACTAACCACATGGTGGAGGAAATCTGAGGCAGCACAGCTTCTACAGGAGCAGAGCAGCCAACCAGAGCAGGATACACACAGTCTTTGGGGATCGGTCGTGGTTCCTGACTCATTTCAGAAATCTAGACAAAAAAAAAACCCCATCAAACTCCAGAGCAGTTGAAAGGAGTCACAACCATGGTGCACAGCCTCACTTTAAATCCTGCCGCTTTAACTTGTTCTTCTATTATCACCATTTTGCACAACTGTGTAAGGTATTTGAACATGCACACTTATCATATTTATTGATTACTGTACATCAAACACTCTTGTTCTATTTTTTTTATAAAACCTGGCATCTGTGTGGACAGCAAAGAAAGAATTCCATTGAACTGAGAAACTTGTTTTTTCTGTTGTATACGAGAAAGTCTTTGAACTCAGTCAGTGTCCAGTCTGGTTTAGACGGATTCCCCATTCTTTTTGACAGTTAATGATTGTGGATGTTGAATAATAGTATGTTGCATACCAAACATTTCTTGGAGCTCTTGGACCCTGAATTCATCAGGTTTCTGGGAGTCCTCATCAACAGGCCTTTAGTTGGAGTTGTGATAAACTGGAATGAAAAACAGACGATGAGCCTCTTATAGATGGCAGATGGGTTCACGTGTACAGAGACTGTTTCACAGGTCTGAATTGCAGCAGTAATAAAAAAAGAGTACTTTTCCTACCTTAGGTTGTGGGATGCTACACACTTTGGATCTTCTGGGCGAACATGTCCTGACAGCTGGGCTGCGACGGTCAATGTCATCTGCAGTTTCCTGCTGCTGGATGGGATCAGCAAAGGACACACGCCTGGACTATAATAAGAGTAAAATCAGGTTAAGACAAAACATTTAGGACTAAAATAAATACTGTACATAAATAAAGGTTTCTTACTTTGACCAAGGGTGAAACTGAAGGTGAATCCTCCTCAAACGGCCTCTTCTGGCCCTTCTTGAGGATACTGCTGGAGGGGGAAGCTGAAGGAGACCAGGTTCCCCTGGTCCTTCCACTGGAGGGGCTTTGTCCAACATCTGAGGCAATGAGTGCTGCAAGGTCTTTCTTCACTGGGGATTCATATCCATTTGTAGTTGCTGTAGCCGATAAAACCTCACTTAGATTACACGGCACGTTCAAATTTACATTTTTCTCATCAGTGGCGCTTTCGGTTTGTTCTTCAATTTCATTTTCCTCCATTTGGATTTTGCCATCTTGGTCATTTTCTTGAACACATGAGATCTTTTCCTCAGCAATGGTTTCTGAATGTTGGTTTGAGAGCAGGTGTTCATCTTCCTTTAGCTGCTCAGCTACGCCTGTCAGACACTCACTGTTGTTTCCATCAGAAGACATGGTTTCCAGTGGAACATGTGGATGTTCTTGATCTAAAACAGGTATTTCAACTGCATTTTCATCGACACTAGTTTCAGGATCTTTTTTAGTGTTGTTCTCTGGAGAACCTTTGACCTGAGGCTCTTCTGCCCCCTCATTGGTCACCTCCTTATCCTCGGCAGAAGGAGCTTCGCTTGGCAGATTTTCTTCAACCTGTTCATTTCTTGAACAAACAGCTTCCGGGTTTGTTGAGCCTTGAGTTACTTCTTCTTGTGAAGATGTTCTCTGAATGTTACTTAATGATTCCCTTTTAACCTTTTTGGACCCCTTCTTTCTTCTCTTTTTCCTTTTTATCATACTCTCTTCAGGAGTGGTGGGTAAGACAACATCATCCTCTACATCCATCTCAGAATCTCTGCTCTGGGATTCCATGTCTGCTTCGTCTTGATTAGATTCAAAATCCTGTAAATCTTGGCTTGTCTGGGATTCCAAATCTGTTAAATCTTCTTCTTTACTTTGTGTACCAATAATTTGAGAATTGTCAACTTCATCATTTGCTACATCATTATCATTTGCATCTATGTCACATTCAACAGTGGGAGAATCTTGAAGAGAAGCTTTGAGTTTCCTCTTCTGTTTCTTGGGTGTTAGGGTGTTTTCTCTCGCCTCAGAGGACTTGCTGTCTTCTGATGATTGAGGAGATCCTCGTCTTGAAAGCCTGCCTGTATCTGGGGAAGAGCCTGCAGATTGTACGCTTCTTCTAGTTCTCCCTCCTACAGTGACCTCTGCTTGCTTGAGAAGTGAAGATCGTCTCGGCCTTTTTAATGAGTCGGTACTGTCGACAGGGTCTGCTTCCTCTGCTAAAGCCTTTCTCTTTTGGATTTTTTCCTTTTTAGGCTTACCACAGGACAGTCGCACAAGTGGAGAGTCCTCCTGACTGAGGTCAACGTCAGTCTCCATCCTTGGGTCAATGCCCTTCTCCTCTAACTGATTTGGAGACTCTGTTAGTTCTTGTTGCTCATTAATTGGACATGAAGGAGAAAACTGAGAATCACCTTTATCTGGTTGAGTCTTTTCTGCCAGCTGACCCTGCGACTGGCCTACAACTTGTGGTGATGTGAGATTTTCTTCTGCCTCATCAGTTGTAATGGAAGAAGTGATCACATCTGATTCAGTGTTCTGCTGTTGGGCTTCCTTCTCTGCCTGTTCAGTAAGTTCTGTGGAAATGTCTTTAGACTGAGAGCCCTTCACTGGTTCATCATCATCCTTATTCTTTACAGTTTGCTTGGAAATCTCAGTTTGTGTGGCAGCTTGGCTCAACTTTTCTTTAAACACATTTGTTGTCGTTCCTTTTTTATTATGGTCTAATGATGCCTTTTTTCGTCGACCTCGTCCACCCAGTGACTGGCTTTCAACATCAGAAGGCACGTCAGACTGGCTGGAGTCATGTCCTTTGTTGCTTTTTTGTTTGGGTTCAGGACTATTTAGAAAATCTCCAGAGTTGCTGAACAGTCTTGTTTTTTTATGCGTCCTACCCTGGGATGAAGGTGGGCTTAATGTACCCTTTTCCTTTTGAGCCCTTGTTCGTAATTTCTCTCTGGTACTCTCCTGGAGGCTTCTTCTGGTCACTCTGCCTTGTAGTGAGTCTGAATTTAAAATGTCCTTTTTGGGGTCTCCTTTAGAACGTCTCTTTTTCTTTAGTGAGAATCTACCCTCTACCTCTTCTGGGTCCTCACCAGGCATCAGCGGTCTGACTCTACTGCGACCAGATCGCCTGGGTTCACCTTGAGAAGTGTCTGACACAGATGCCTGAGAATCAACTATTTCTTCCTCTTGACTTGATAGCTGTGAAGTCATTGTTTGACTCTCCTCTTCTGTGTCAGCCTGTGTGTCTGGTATGACATCATCTTCTTCTGTTGTGTCACTAGAGAGTCTCTCAATCAGTCTTACAGGTGGTGCTCCAATATTCCCAGAATCCCTTGGTCTCCTAGGGGACTCAAGGATATTGTTCAAAGAGGCCTCAGAATTCTGAGGATCTGGACCTACAGACATGTTGGCTGATGGAGATAAGGGAGAGTTCTTGTTGTCATTTTCCTGGGAGTCCTTAATGGAATGACCAGTGAATACACCTGATGTACTGCTTGGGCTGGCAGATTTTCCCTCATCATATTTCTCTAAAGTTATAAAAGACTGACGGCGACTGTTGGGTTTTTGTGGAGTCCCAGAGACCAAATCTGACAAAAGTGAGGTGTTAGGACTTGAGTCCTCTTTAGACTGAACCTCCGTGTCTGCTGATATATCATCATTTTTGGTCTCTTCTTCCATGGAAACATCTGCTGACTCTGAGAGCATTTTGTCATCTGCTTCTCTTGGGCTGGCAAAGTCTTGAGTCTCCTTTGCCAAAAGAGCATCTTCCTTAGTTTCTATTGCCTCCTGGTGGAATGTAAAAGAAAAACAAAAGTAAATTCATATCAGATGATTAGTTTAAAAAATGTCAAATATTCTTGGTCTTTGGATAATCTTTACAAAGAAGCACTTTTTACGCATCATTGAAAATGAAAACAGCTTCAGAATTGACCATCCATGTTTGCTAAAAAGATTAAAAATGTCAGTATGAGGTTTACCTTTTCAGAATCTCGTTTGGCTTTAGGCTCAGTTTGTTTTGTTGGTAGTTTGTCCCTAGTAGGAAAAATGATAAATGAATGGTATTTTTAATTAATATGTTGGCACTCATCCTCAAAATAGCAGATGCTGAGAACTTACAAAGAGTCTTCTTGGTTCTGAGTGTACTGAGTGAAGACAGTGGAATCCAGAGAAGCATCAAGATTGTTGTACATGGCAGGAATGTCAACCCTGTACCAAGGAAATCATGAGCTCAAAAGAACTGACTCAGATCATAAGGTTGAAATAAGACACAATACCAAATCAGACCTTTTGGTCCTTTTCACTTCCTTCTGATGCTCCGTCAGAACTCTGTCCTTGACCTCAGGGGGGATAAAGACAAAGTCTATGGAAGCCTCTTCTTCCAAAACCTCTCGACGTGGAGGTTTTGGGGATCCAAAATCCAGTTTTGTCTGAAGTTCAGAAATAAAGGATTTATATAACAAATATTTTCATATGCACAATATAAATTAGCCAACTGGTACATTTAAACATGAACAACACAGTTAAAAAATGTTTTCTATAGTATCTGACTTACTAAAATATTATCATTCAACCATTGCTAAAGTTTTAAAGCACTAGATGGAAATCCAGAAACATGTACATTTATGTGTTCATGAGACATTTATGTATTATATCATCCATATTTAATCATCCAAATCCAACTATTTAGTGAAGTTACTGTGTCTAATTTATGTTGTAAACTTACAGAAATGTTCCTGGATGTCTTTGTGGAACTCTTGTCTATCGGCTCATCGGCCTTAGCCAGCAGTGAGTCCTTTTTTCCGACAGATGAAACAGTTATCCCGCTGAGTTTGGTCTCCATCTGAGAACTTTCACTCTGAGATGATGCACAATCAGCAGAACATTACATTAGAAGTGAGAGTTGTTTTACGATTTAAATTATACGTAAGATTTGAGGAACTCACTGAATATGTTCTACTCAGATCTTCAGAAACTCTGACAACTTCAAACCCAGGAAGGATGATTGGGGTTTTCTGCTTTACTTGACTCAGAACTGGCCTGTAGAAAATAAAATGTATAAAAAACAAAACAGGCTCAGACAATTAACTGACAGATAAATGCAGCAAAGCTTCTATACTATTCTATTTTTATCCTGATGTTAACACAAACAGAATGTCATGTGAAGAGTAACAGTCTTCCCTTTGGAAATACCTTTGAAGACCACATAACTATCAGTTATCTGAGTTTAAAAAACCAAATGTATCCATCCATATAAACAATCAGAGGGCTTGTTACCTGATTTCTTCGGAATAAGTGAGGCAAGTAGATTTAGCAAAGGTTGCGTTCCAGAACTGGGTGATAGCAGTTCGTAGCAGCTTGTTCTTGTGTGGAAACAACACACAAAGCAAAGGAGAAAGTAGAGAGAGTAGCTCATTGTCAAAGGCCAAAGTGGAGCGACTCTGTAGGCAGCCCAGGAGGTCAGAGACAAGCTTCTCCAGCTACAGGGGATGGAGGGTAGAGAGCAGTAGAGAAGAGGGTATATGTCAATGCCAAAATTTAAATGAGAAATTATTTGACCACTTTAATTCTTTACCTTTGTTATAATCTGTGACGTGAACACCCGTGGCTCAGTTCCTGCACATTTGTAGAAAAGTGTCAGTGGTTGAATGAGGGAGGTGAGAGCCTCTTGGACAGCATTGGCCAGGAAAAGATTAGCAAAAAGTGAGGACATGATGCTGATGAGAGCGACTGCAGTGGCTTCAGAAAAGGATTCTGGTTTCTCCAGGTAAGCTTCAAGACACTCAACCAGTAGTGACTGGAATGTCGACAGGTTACCCAGGGCCTTTTCCCTTTTCTTCATCCAGTTAGATGGAGTACGAGGAGCTGCAGGAAACAGGCGCAAAAGTGAATCTTGTATCTAGAACATTTCTAAAACTTATTGGTTTGATTTGTCTTACACTTTAGTTTCTGTTTAAACTGAGGAGAGTAAGGCGAAAAGTCTGCACACTCCATCATAACATGGAGAATACTTGAAACTCCACTCAGGTTTGAAGGAACCTGAAAGATATTACAAGATAAATGTAAACATTTGTATTCATTTCACGGTCCACTTCACAGGTGTCAGTATATAATGAAACTTGCTCAACATTTTTACATTGTATTGCTGGAAAGAAAACAATAGCTAAATCTAAAGTCATATTATCAAATTGTATCTGTCTTTTGTGGAACACAACCACAACAAATTCTTCCTCTACTCACTGATAAAATCTCCTTGTTGATAATGCCTGTCATCTTTCCACAAAGCTCCTCACAGCAGACATTTTCCTCGGCAGTGACCACTAGGGCTGAACAACGTGCAAAACCTTTGTAGAGCTTAGACCAAGTTGACAGCATGGACTTCTGGGAGGTCTGGGAGTAAAATAAATACTTACGTTAAATAATGCTGCTTCTTCAAGCTAAAAAATATGTTAACAAACAAGTTGTCTACAGACCTGTTGCAGTGCTGCATCAGCACATAGTAGGTGTCTAACTGGGAAAAGCAGGGCAGAGTGCATGGCACTGAAGTTGTGCTCCAGAGCATCACCTTGGTTCACTTCATTTGACTGAAAGAAGTTGGCAGAAATAATTTAGAAAAAAAAGAACATCTTTTTATTATTTGAAATGTTTTAAAGCTCCCAAAACTTTGAATCCCAAAAAATAACTACAGATCTACAAACTGTAAGGATATTGTAAAACCTCACACTGAACCTATGGCCTTTTGAATTTAATACATTTCGTCTTAAATAACTAAAAGTCCCAAGACAAAAGACTGGGAATGTTGAGAATAGGTTTCACATAGTTCCTCAGTTCCTGAACAGTTACATTGGAATTTGAAAACAACATGCTTTAAGTAAATAATGCATGTATAATATTTCACTCTCTCAGCTAGATTTGTCAACCTACCTGTGTGATGGTGTCAGTCAGCTGGCTGACAACCATGGTCCACATTCTCCACAGATGTTCTTTAGTCTGCAAAGACTTAGCACTAACATTGATGGCTCCCAGCACTGCCTCAGCAAACGCCAGAGGACAGGTGTGGCCTGACAGGCCGTAGCCCACCAACATCTGAAGGCTCTGAAAAAACCTGAGAATAAAAAACAAAATTTTAAAAAAGTGCAAAAAACAATATACCTTTATACATACACGTTTATCTTTCCAGTATCCACTATGTGGACTTCATACTTCAGTTACATATCAAGATCTACCTCTCATCCTCAATGTATGCAGACAGCATACTGCTTTTGAACAGGAGAAGAATAAGAAACAGAGCTGGAGTTCCCTAGAGAACAGGATAAAAAGAAAAAGTTAATAAACACCTGTGACAGTATGTTCAAATGCAGTGACTTTTACATGTTTACCAGAGAAATAAAGACAATATTTAACTCACATTTAGCACATCCATCCTCCCTACTTGGTAGGAGGCAGAGCCAAGAACCCTCTCTGAAATATTTGTCACTGTGATCTCTAACAGAACCTGATGTCATAGACCAGAGAACACAGATACATGAGGTCTTTAGACATTATGTTCTAACACAGTTTACAAAACAACACAGGTTTATTCCCATCTTACCAGAACTTTATCCACTGACAGAGCTTCAGAGGTGACGATGCTCTGCAAAGCCTGCAGCATCAGAGTCAGAACTTCGCAGCCCTGACGATCCTTTTTACTGCCTACCGACCAGGGAGAAGAAAGTGTGTTTAAACTCAGCAGCAGTGCCGAAAAGAAAATGTTGTCCAGATTAAGAAATATTCTGACTGACCAAAGAGAAGGGTCATCATTGGGGAGAAACCCCTCAGTGAATGTTTCTCAACAGCAATTCAGAGCACAAGGCTCTGAACACTCAGACTTAAACTGATTAGAATAGTGAGGGTGGGTCAAGAGAGAAGCAAGGTGGAGGTCTTTCTGACCCTGCTCCGACATAACTGAACCAAGACCCAATCACAGTGTTCTATGTGATGCTGCGAGGTGAGATCTACAGCTTTAAGATTCCACCCTGCTGAGCAGCAGTCACAAAATAGGCAAGCAGGGTTTTTTTTGTGTTCGGATCACATTACAATCAATGGGTTTTATAGACTTACCAGAATCTATGGTCAAGTTGACAAAGTAAACGAGCTTTTTCCATATGACAGCCAACAGAGGATCTGTGGGATGGTAGAACAGAGGGAACCTTTTTAACCAATCACCAGAAATTAGAATAACTATACAGAGATAGCTTGGTAGCGATTGGCATATTGTTACAATACAGCTTTATATGCATTCCCTTTTAAATAGTTGTGTACTAATATTTTATAAACCAAATGATGGGAGGAAAACAAAACAAATAGAAGGATTAACCTGGAGCGTCTTTTCCAATGCTGATGAATCCATCTTTGATGTTCGAGATGAGAGCAGTAGCGTGTTTAGTAAAAGAGGAGGCTCCAGTCAGGAGCGGGTGGTTTAACGGCTCTAAAAGAAGGAAAAAAGGGAAGAAAAGTTGGCAATTAATCCAACCAACACACATTGTGCCTTACGCTCAAACAACTTTTCTTCCACTATTTAGGCAGCCAAACATCAGTCAGTAGTAAGAGGACATTATATAGTTTCCTGTGGAGTTTGGCTTGAAAACACATGCAGTTTATAGTCCAGGTCAAGGGTCTTTAACCTTTTCCTAAACTGATGGTAAGATAATAAAAATTATGAAATTTATGTTTTGTGCTCACAAACCCCTGTGGCATTTGGTGAGTTTAGAACATAACACAATAATGGTAAAAAATATCTAACCTTGACCTGAGAAAACTGGGACAAACACATAGACCACATGTGACTCTCACCGAGACTGAGTGTGAGCCGTCTTTTTGCTGCAGCAGCAACAGCCTCTGGGCCAAGGAAGTAGTGTAACAACATCTCCAGTCCCAGCAGCTGGGTAGAGGGAAAGGTCGAAGGAACGTTGACACTGGAGTTTAGAGCCATCCGAGGTGTAGTGGATGCACTGGGGATGTTAGAAGTGCCTGCAATCGAGAGTTTTACAGACTTGTCTCAGCCACACAAACCTTGTTAATACAAGCCAATATATTTACTGTATATATCAGGTATAGAACATTATCAGTCAACACTGATGCCTGACATGGTACTGAAGTGGTTGATGGCAAGGAATGACAAATGAACAGTTTGCATAGTTAAAAATGTGTGTTCTCAACACACATTTTCTCTCAACATCTTTTTAATATGTATTTTTTTTATATATTTCTTAGGGTCTAACCTACTCCCAAACACATTATTTAATTTCATGAGGATTTGTAAATAATGTTAGTCATGTAAATATATGATAATTGAGAACCTTACAGCCCTATGATTGACTAGTAGTGAAGTTATTGCATCATAAAAGTGAAGCTTCAAGAATAGAAAACTACTGGGCATTTGTGTGACAGAGAGTGGAAATATACTGTGTGATTGTGTGACAAATGTAGCGTGACAATTTTTCCTGTTGTTAAGATATAGGGTAGAACAACCTGGCATTTGAAGAACAAAACAGTCCTTTATAAATTATGATAGTGTGTATGTCTGAGTGAAGGTCACAGTAACCAGTGAGTTTAAGGACAGAGGACCTAGCAACAGCAGCAGAAGTGGAGTCAAATCCCAAGAAGACGGATAAGGACACCCAATCAGAAGAAGACACCATTTTGTGTGCAAAACTCTGTCTGTTACATTTAAAAAACCTGGGTCAGGAAAAGATAGTTGGTCAGACCCCATGAACTGACATGCTATGCTGTTTGTCAGGGACGTGTAGCTCTGACCCAGAGCTCTGTAACTGCCTATTTTGCTGATTTTTTTTTAATTTAAGCCTAAATATTTTCTCCTATTTGCTCCATTAAAAGAACACAAGGGATCTGACTCACACATGGAGAGATTTCAGAAGAATGAGCAGAACCCAACAGTCATAAATGGAGATTTCAGAAGAAGGGCAGTCAAAAGGAAGTAGTAGATACACCACCTTTAAAAATACCTATACTTCAAAGCCAAACAGTGATTTGGTCATTTCGACAACTCTACAACCAAGTGGAGAAACTTAGATGTGCGAACATACCAGTTTTGGGTGTACTACAGGGTGTCACAGCACCATTCTGTGTCACCGCTCTGGAGGGAGTCCCTGGGACTGATGAGGAGTCACATCCTATAGTACACTGGAGCAAAGGCAAAGAAACCTGTGCAGAGAACAAGTAAATAAGAATCACATTAGGTCAGGCGTCCTCTCAGTGTTTTTAGCAAACTATTATCATTATGATATTGTTATGCATTGGAGTTAAAATCTAACCAGATCGAAGTTGGACGACAGGTTTGGTCCCAGTTGGACTACCAGGTACCACCAGACCTCCACTTTGGTGAGGAGCAGGGCTTCTGTCCTGACGTTGATGGACAGGAGCGGCTGCATCAACAGCTTCATACGTTTAGTGCTACAGAGGATGTCTTCAGGAAAAAAGTGAATAAATCAAAACATAATCCTTGTTAAAACATAGATAACAGAGAGATAAGTGAATGCATCCTTGACATGCTTACCAGGATTGAGGGCAAAATTATCTATAAGGCTCTTCCAGGCAATGAAGGCGATTTTCTTGATGGCTGGTGATGAGCTACGGAAACCGAGCTCCTCAAGATGGAGCAGGGAGTTAATAAAGGGGCCTCCTCTGTGCAGCATCTGCATGTGGAAAAATAAAAGTATATTTAATCCACAACTGACAACTTCTGGCAAACTACTACATGGAAGTAGGTGATTAAATATGTCCAATCTGTGATGTAAATATGGATGTATTTTGACAGGCATGACATCTTTAGAATGGTGAAAAGCCATTTCTTCTGTGGCTACATTTTTTTAATCAACCATCTGCTTTATTCATGTGTTTTACTGCGTTTGGAATATGATAATCTGCACACACTCCTATTCTTGGACACTTTAGGAAATTGATCAATTAATGACTGAAAATGAACAAATTAGTCAGGGTAGAATAACCCTGTCAACTTTACCTTCCCCAGCAGTTTGACAAATAAAGGCCAGAGCTTCAGGACATTGGTTTCATTCTTGGACATGAAGAGTTTCTGCAGCTCTGGGATCAGTTTCTTTAAAGACAAATGGCAATAGGTTATCTTACGTGGCTCAAATTTTCCAGGATCATGTTCCTGTTGTAAATTCTGATGCTTACCGTGGACATCATTGGTTCAATGACAGCAGCCACCTGCGTCTGTCTCTCCAGTAGCAGTGGTAGGCCCATCTCCATGGCTGCTGCAGCCCGTAGACGTACCTTGGAGGCGGAGTGGACGACCAGAGGAACCACCAGCTTTGCCCACTGTACTGCTCCTTCACCCATCTGTGTCGGCGCCTGCTCCAACATCCTTTAAAAAAAAAAAAAATCAGTCAATTCACATGTGTGCATGTGTGTATTTAATGTCAGTTTATATATAAATCATTAATTTTCACCTGATGACAACATTCAAGGCTTCATGCTCCATGACTATAGACTGGATGTTCTCTCTGATCAACACAGTTGTTAGTGTTCCCAGTATGGACGAGACCTGTGAGAGGAAGGCAGCGCAGATTAGGTTTCCCACCAGTAGGAAAAAAAACATCACAGCTGCCACTACACTTGGAGCTTATTATTACTTTTTTGGCCACTACAGTTGAAGGAAAGCTCTGTTTGGAGATGACCCACAGTGCTCTGATGCATGTGTTCTTATCGGGGGACTTTACCACCAAGGAGCAAAGTGCTGTAAGGATTTCTGTGGCAAAGGTTTCTGGAAAAATAGAGAGGTGCAACATAGTGAGCCATCATGGTATCACATTCAAGTAGGACAATAAATAGAATATAACATGTACAATGTAAATCAAAGTACCTGGTATTTCAGAGACCACGTGTGAATGGTAAACACAAAATCCCAAAGCTTGGAGTGCAGCTTGGACCAGTTCTGCATTTGGACTTGCTATGTGAATCTGAACCAAAAGGAGTAAATAGATGTTGAATGTTAATCAGAAACTGAAATACTTCATTAGTCTGCAGGTAAATGCTTCCACTGCCAAATCCAAAATGTGTTAAAAAGAAAAAAAAAGTGTGTTTATCTTCAAACACACTTTTTTTTTCTTTTTCTTTTTTTTACTAACAACGGCTTTACAACATTCACAGGCAAAACAGCTTTAGAACTGAAACGCCTTTTTTTAAATTTAAACTGTTGATACCTACCAGGATTGTTTTACCCAATCTAGAAAAGTGCTTTTCAACTGCAGGGAGAAACTGTCGTCCTTCCTCTCCACTCAGACGGCTGAGAAAGGAATAAAATAGTTACCAAGTTTTTTTCTGTCTTTCTTTGTAGTTGCTTTTTCTGCTTTAAACTTTGGAGAAGTCACTGAGTGACACTTACTTAGCGATAGTGAGGTAGGCGTCTGTCTGCTCGGACTGTCCTGCAGAGTTATCTTCCAGAGATTCCAACAGAGGGAGGAGGCTGGGGCTGCCCTGTGGCCCCACCGTTGCCATCATTACTAGTCACCCCTGGAGGCTTACAAAGACAACACAAGATAAAAAGTGAAAGTGAGTAAGATCAACAGTATTTAACCTGTAACTCCTCACACATCAGCCTGAACAAAAGATTGACTCTGTAACCAGTAGAGGACAAGAGGTCAAGCATTTTGAAACCTTCTGTCTCGTGAACATTTAAAACAAAAATATGCATTGGAATTTCAATTAAGTGCTGAAAGAAAATGATTAAATAATTTTGTTTAAATTAAGGAAAACGTATATGCAATATACTATTAGCAACTTGCTGTTGAAGGTAAGGCTGACTATTTTTTATGTTGTGATCTCAGCTCTGTGGGTATTTTTCTGTAACAAATTACGTAAAACAACCACAGACAACATAATGCTGGCACTAACACTTTGCAAATACATAGTGTTTGCAAACCAAATATCACTTGACATTGTTTGTACAGTGGTAGCTGTAAGTAAAATAGTTTCATACTTTAGAATCTTTCTTTCCTCCAATGTATTAAGAGTTGTAAAACATTAAACAAGACAATAATCACTATGCAAGTGTGGATATATTAATCTTTCTTCTGTTGCCTGATTAGGCCTTTTTAAAGCATAAAGACAGAGTTTGTTTTCCCCTGTTACCAGAAAATTCCTTAAATAAGAATTGTAACCAACATTAGACATCATCATGGGATGTGCCTTTGTGCATCTTTCACTTAGTTACCTATGGCTTTCTTCAAGAGTGTATAGTCTCAATTCTTAGTTTAAGGTATTTGTAATACATAATGGTGCCGATTTAGCATACTGCAACCTTAATTACAGGACAAGTTGAAAAGTAAAACAAGTGACGAGATGGAAAATACTACACAAACACACTAACATTCCTTGTAAGCTGTTCACAACTGTGGTACAGCTGCCAAAACACTACATATGAAAATTTACCATACAGTTGCTAAATTGAGAATACGACATCTTGAGACTGAAACTGACCTATCATTATTTGCTATAGATGCGTGATATCGCTATACACAGTCTACTGAATTAACTCAGGAAACGAGTGACACAGCAACATATCCTCGAGAAGCACTGTTGTCTCGAGCTATTCAATTCCAAGTAGCCAATAGGCAGTATCGTTACATTTTAAACTTAAAATGTTAATTGTAAAAGGTGTTTTCAGCCGAATATATATCAAGTAATACGACTGTTTTACCAAATATGGTAGGCAAACCTTTGTGTTTGTGCAACGGTAGAACAGGCCATTCTCTACTAGTGGAACCACAATAGACAATGGGTAGACGTATAAAACAGTGACCCAATATAGGATGGAGGTAAACATATTGAGCTCCTCTTAAGGAAGCATTTTCTAAAGAAAACCCAACAACATGAAACGTTAAAACGCACTGGAGTTAAAGCTATCTGTAGTTAGCGTTTTAACGTTAGCATCGCTAGAAGGTAAAGTTTGACGCAGGCGCACGCAGTGAAGCACGATTAAAGATATAACCGTTAACAAAAACAATGCATTTTACACAAAATCACAACAAATCACGCGACATTGTTTTATACCTGTGTTCTTTTCTCAGGGCCAAGTTTGAGCTGACTGCATGAACAACGCTCCAAAAAAGGACGACAACGGCGGCAGCAGGAAGAAGTACAGCAGAAGCAGCAGCAACAACAACAAGAGTGACACCACTGCGGCTCCCTCGGTAGCAGCCCCCCAGGCTCTCCACTTCTGTCTCTGATATTTTTACTGTCTTTAATCTGCCGTTTTACATGTATTTTTCCTCTGTTGCGTCTTCTCGCGTGACCGCCCAGTACTGTTTTCTCCCCGCGAAACTGCTGGCGCCAAAGCACCACCACGACGTACAAAATTACCTCTGACCTTGCATACGTCACACCCGGACCTGCGCATTTAGCCATATAAGGAAAGCTAATATAATATAATATAATATAATATAATATAATATAATATTTCATGGTTCGATTAAGGATTGGAAGATAGGTCTGAATATGTGAGGATACACTGTTATTTTTTCATGTATTTCAGGGTCCAAGGATGACTTTACATGACTTACTAATTTTCTGAATATAACTTGGCAACTGTTGTTTTGTCAGTTTTTTTGCAAGTAAAATAATTGTATTTTTCAATCAAATATTTAATGTCAACATTTAAACTTTCAAAAAAGGTGCGTTTTGTAAAATTGCTCATTGCTCAATATGAAAGCTACAATGTACTGTATACTTTATAAGGAGTATGTAAAACTAAATAAGTATAAACCAGTTTCGTTTATTATTTTCCCAGAAAAAAAAAGAAAAAATAAACTCCTCCTAAAATTTAAACAAACATATCAGCCCGGTTCAGTGCGCAAAGCAGAGCGCATAGCCTGTTCCGCCTCTAGTGGTCTCTGTGAAGAGCTACATCAGTATGTAAACTAATCAGCCTCTCTGCTGCTACAGCAGCAGTGGCAGTGGCGGGTCTCTGACACTACAACGTCCACTCCTGCAGGGTGACAGCAGACCGGGAGTGACTGCTCAGCGGGTCCGTGATGGATGAACGGGCCTTAAGCAAAGCAGCGCCCCGCTTAGCTTCCCCCAGATGGCGGTGTGAGTGAGGATGCGACTCCCCATTTCCATCTTTGTGTCGGTGTCTCTGTTCACGGCCGAGACAACGGCAGCGCTCTACCTGAGCTCAACATACCGATCTGCCGGCGACCGAATCTGGCAGGCACTCACGCTGCTCTTCACGCTTGTACCATCAGTTCTGGTCCAGCTCACCCTCACCTTCATCCATCGGGACCTGGGCAGAGACAGACCCCTGGTCCTGCTCCTGCACATCCTGCAGCTCGGACCCATTGTCAGGTCAGTGGCGTCTTGTTCACTTGCATCTGGGGTTTTTTTCTCTCGCAAACCAAAAAAACCTTTTGATGCTTTTTCTTCTGATGATTCTGCATTCCTTCACTGTAACAGACCGCTGTATGGTAGCCTTTTACACACATATGGCGGCTACATGGATCTATACTGTATTTATGCATGTGAACATAATAAGCAGCTTATGTGGCAGCTTTGATGGATGCACTGCGCACATGTTTGTTGTTGTCATTTTTCGGCGGCCTTAACCACAGACGACAGCGACGATCTAAGAGATTTTAGGAGTCAATTGAAAAAAAACACACACACACACATTCTTAAATTAAACGATTAGAGCTGTGGTGCTATGTTTTTGACGTGTGAGAATTAAAGAATGTAATATTTTTTCTTCCAAAGGACACTGTTATATGTCTGTGAAGATAAGGAGTCATCGAGATAAATTAAAGGAACTGGACTGTGGCATCCATCCACAGACAGGTCTTCTTGCATAGAACAGTACTTTCCAGTAGAAATTATTTTTGTGTTTACAGTAACAGCAAGAGTTACATTCACATACTTTTTTATGTTTTTGTGTTTAGTACGTTATTGTTTGCATAATCTACATGCAGTTGTAGGTCTATGAAAAGTAATCTTTAAAAAAAAAACAACAACATGATGACACATACAGGGTATAGCCTCGTTATCTGACATAAAACAGCAGGAACCTTAAAATTATGCTGAAATATGTTCAACGTCAGCTTTTTGTAAAATCAATGTAAAATCAAACATACACATTTTTGTATGAAAAATTTGGGGAACGGGAATGGTACTCTCAGGTCCAGTTGCCTTTAAGAAAAAAAAAAGATAATTCTTTTGAGTTTATATGAAATAGACCCAAAGATTTGGCCTAATTTCCCTCATAGATTTGAGGAAATAAATGATTGTCTCCTATGAATGCTGTTGCATTACAGCTGTTTTTTTTTTCATAGTCTTTCTGTTGAGGCAGTGCCTTAAAATCTTTTGCAATTCAGATTAGATGGAGAGTCGTCAGAAAGACAAGAGATAACCATGTAAGAAGGCCAGAACACTCAGTTGTTATTGTGCTTGTGATGTCATCAGGCCGATACTGGGGATTAAAACAGAACACAAGACAGATCAAACACTGTCAGTTCAATTAGTATTGATTGCATTTAACCTGATCAAAACTACTGGGTCCAGTGGTGAAAAGCAGTAAAGGATGTAGTAAACACATAGACTGTGCTCTACATGCAAAGTTGTTGATTTTCATTTGCATCCAGTAAACTGATTGTGATGGAAAACCTGAAATACGAGCGCTATTTAATTAAAACATTGAGACTGCACGAGAAACGTGCTATTCAAGATGTGTGCTCAAATTGTTTGCTATTGTAATAAACCAGACGAGTCGCAGCAGTAATTGTCTTTCTGCTTGAATTTCATACAGACTTATGTCTGAAACAGGTGGAGCTGCTTCCTTTAAGTCTTATCTTTACTCCAAGAACAATAGTGATGATGGTATGTTTGATCACGGGGTGACATGACAAGTCAATTTTATTTAACGTAACGTAGCCAAAACTCACGTTATGTCTCAGGGGACAGTTTTGATGTGAATTAAAAGTAGGATTAAAAGGACTGCTCTCCTCAAAAAAAAAAAAAAAAGTAATGTGTATATGCAAATAATACACATCCGTGTATATTCTGCTTCCACTTCTTCTCTTTTCACAGTAGACCTGGCTGTCGGCCTGATTTATTCACCATGATCTTCCAGATGGAGCACATCAGTCCACTTCCATACATACAGTAGACACATTCACACAGTCACTGTGGCTGCTGCACACTGATGGAGGAGCCATTCTAAAATTGCATTAATAGCATAAGACCATAAAGGTCCAATCACAGGTCCATTACGGCTCTGCCTTGATCCGATCATACCTGGGGTCATAAATATAGTATTTTAGTCATTATGATTGGGTTTCAACATCTCAGTGACCTATAAAGTCATTATGATTGGGTTTCAACATCTCAATGACTTCACCTATAAATAACCTTTAACTCAATGTAGAATTAGAAGCCCTAGAGCAAATATCTAAATTCACAGAAACTATCATTATCTGTCTGAAATATACAATAAGGACAGGCCAGAATATGGGGGTGAGCTGTGTTGGATTAGTGGCACTGAATCACAGATCTAATGAAAAGGTTTTAAGTCAGGGTTTTAATGAGATCGGGGGAGATTAGCACAGTCCACACATCAACGACTGTATTCAGATACTTTGATAAAGGGTTATTTCTCTCAATGGTTTCGTCTTCATAGATGTGGGCCAGTTTGAAACAGTGTGTTCATTTCCATTTACGAAAGATTACAATTTTTCAACAAGCTTTGGCTTTTAAAAACTTTTAAAACAAAAGCTTTTAAAAACAACAGAAAATTCAAGTTAGAGTAGTTTACTGTAATAGCATTAAATAACAGTCACAGCTTTTAGCTACAAATTAACCTGGTTCTGTAGGATCTTAACCTGATCCTCTGCTGCTGCAGCCACACTCCAAATCTCTTATTTTATTAAGCATGTGCAGATTTGAAAATGTTTTAATGGATATAAAAGTTTCATTTTCATTTTTGCCTGGGAATCCGGAAATACAGACATTCTGTTCTGGTCAAAGTTTTACTACAGCGAAACAATAGTGAACAGTAAAAATACTCAATGAAGTTCAACATCACACCCAACCTACATAACATAGTTGTGATACCAAAGCAGGGAGATCATGAGAACGCCTTCAACAGTGAAGCATAAGTAAAACCATATGTTTGAGAAGATTAAAACTCTGGAACACAGACAAAATCTGGTGGAACAAACTGTACATCTAGAGAGAATACTGGAATAAATATTACATAGATCCAGGGTTTAGCACATCAGTGTAGCAGTGGTACTGTTGGTTGGAAACTCTATGTTAATCAAGAGTTTGAAGAGTTGTTTTTGAATAGAGGGCAGGAAGTGTTTGGTGTCCTGCTGTAGACAAGACAGAAGCGGACATTCCCCTCTCTGTTTGTGCTGTGAAAGATAAGGAGCAGCCAGCAGTACCATGAGCTAAACTTAGTACTGCACTTCACCAAAGGAAGATGTATACGCATGCAGCGTAATCACATGAGAACACACTCACAGGGGACTGATGTAGGCAGGTCCAGAGCCGTGAGGCTGGATCCTGGGATTCAACCTCGCTAAAAAACAACAACTGACTTTGACCAATAAGAGGCCGGGACAAAAAGTATTCTTTTTAAAGCATTTTCCAGGTGGTTTTATACAAAGCAAGCAATTGTTAACACAGCATTTCAACACTGAAAATACTGGTTTTATTTGGGAGAAAACCGTCTTTGAAAACAAAAAAAAAAGATTATTTAACAAAAGTTTGAATTCACACAAAGGAACTGCAGTTTTTTTTAGAAGTAATACAGTACGTCATTTGCATTCGCCCCCTGGTTATAGTTCTTCCTCATTTTCAAACACAGCTGTCTGTTTCCATGTTGTAAGAAAACCTGACTACTAAGACCCAACTTTGAGGCCCACTCCTTAACATTTTAACTGAGAAATATTATTGTTTTTTCTTTGTGTTTTCCTCCACACTGCCAGAGACTCAGTGTTAGATGCACTGAAGCAACTCTGCAGCATTTTACACCCACCTTCATAGTCTCCCTGGACCTCTCACATCACACAACACATCTTAGTTGTTATTTGTCTATCCATCCATCCATCCAACTGTAATAACAATAATCGCTGATTTGTGTTTAACAATAAACCCAATGTCACAGAAAGTGATCATTCTGACATTTATTCAGGTTTTCATGCACAGCAGAATAATAAAACAAGTAAGACCTGTAATGTTTGTAAAAGCTGTGTGAAAACTCCTGTGACGGGGGAAAGCCGAGTTTTCAAAAACATCTTAGCTGTAATGTGAAGCTGCGCAGTCTAAATTATACCAATAAGCCTTATTTCTGTGGGCCTTTATTAGTGCACCATGATCCTGACTCAGCCACTGCTCATCATGTGCTGACAGAACACAGTGTTTTTGACAGTGAAGCCATAATATCAGTCAGATGCAGAACCACATAATTGTTTTGAAGCAAACGTGGTCCTATTGGAGTAAACGTTCACCGTTCAGAAGAACGAGAACAAACTGACTGGCTTAGTCCTGGTTACCGTGGTGATCTACACTGGTATCCAGGTCCTTAAATTGCACTTTCAATCCATCTTTGGTCTCATGATAAAAATTCTTGACGTGCAGTTAAATAGAGGTCAGTCTTCAGGTCTGTCATGATTGGGCGGGGTAATCACTGAATTAGAACCTTACACCTGTGTACAATATGAGTGGATTTCAGTGGTGGTGATGGTAAGATTAACGTGAAACGCTTCAGGTGTTGCTGCACAGATATATATAGGGTCAGCACAGAAATGCTGTGGAAATCTTTGTGTGTGGGTTTGTGTGCAGGGTAAGATCATCATCTGTTGTGACAAAGCAAACGGCCGTCCTAGTGAATTGAGTGAAACGTCTCAGACTAACTGACAGAGTGATTGACAGTTAAGTGGATAGCGCAATGGCATCATCAGCTCTTTACTCACTGCTGCCTCTCCTCCTCGCCATTGTCATTATCTCCCTTCCTTCACCACCGTAGGTGTCTGGAGGCGTTCTGTATCTACGGCAGCGTGGGTCGAGTGGAGGAGCCTTATGTCAGCATCACCAGGAAGAAGCAGATGCCACGGGGGGGTCAGTCTGAGGAGGTGGAGCTACAGGTGGGGCAGGCGGAAGGGAAACTCTTCACCCACCGAGCAGCCTTCGCCCGTACCTCTGTCATCCAGGCCTTTCTGGGATCAGCCCCACAGCTGACCCTGCAGCTCTACATCTGCGCCCTGCAGCAGGGGGTGTCCATTGGCAGAGGTGAGCCTTTTAAATCCCTGTTAAGATATATGATGAACATTTTGCCAGATCTAGCCAGGCTTTCATTCCACTAATTTCACATCTTTTCTCTATTTTACTTTAAAATGATTTTCCAGATATCAGATAATCATATGTATACTTAAATAAAAAAATGGTAGCTAAATTACTTAAAGGTAGCCTAAGGAAATTTAAAAAGTAAAAAAAAGTCTGTAATAACTATACCCAAAAAGAGCAAACAGAGAGCGTGTCTGGTCAGTTATGTATATATCACATACATATATTTTATGTTAAATTCTAAATATTCTATAAATATTACTCACATTAATTACTTAAATACATTTAGATTTGATAATTAATTTGTAGGGTAAAAAATCTGTAATGAAATGCAATGAAGCAGTACAGTGCTCTTCGCAAACTCTTGCTCTTCATTAAGAAAGAAAAATATCATTTGTGTGTATGAAAATGTTTTCATTTTCAAACACTTCTAAAATCCACAAATCATAATGCTAATGCTTCATTTCTCTGTAAAGAAAAAAGGCAATAAAATGCAGCTGTACCCACAGTGAGTCATGATATAAATGTGGTGTGTGTGTGTGTCTGTGTGTGTCTGTCAGAAACCATTACAATATGAATATTTTTGTCCATGTCGTGCAGCTTCACTGACACAGATCAGTGATCAGCCTGTGCTGTTGTGTGCGTGCAGCAGGTTCAGTGTCGTTCAGCTTCCAGACAGACATGGTTAAAGTCTCCTGGTTGAGTTGCAACGTGTGTTTTCTAAATGAGAACAAAGGGAAGAATAAATACAGTACATTTAATGTGATTGTTCTCTGCTGCTGCTGCAGGTCTGACACTGCCATTTCACACAGTAATTCAACTGCTGGGACCTGATGAATTGTAGTGTCTCACACACACACACTTTTCTGCACAGAAATAACTTGAACAAAGTAGAACTGTATGTTCTGTTCCCTTTTTTTTCTAACATAATCCTAAATTTTTGTGCGTTAAATTATTCTAAATTTAATCCAGATTACATTTTGTTTGTGTGTAACTCAAATGAGAGATAATAATAATAATACATTTTCAATCTGAAGCCTTGTTTAAACTCAGACATTCAAACAAGAACATATTTGTTTAAAGTTAGGGAATGGTCAAGTTGACTTAAAGAACTGATAGTTTCATTTGAATGACTTTGTCCTCACATTGTATCCTTTGGTCAGGAACACTGATGGTCATCTCCCTTCTCTCCATTGTGTACGGAGCTCTGCGCTGCAACATCCTGGCCATCAAGTTGAAATATGATGACTATGAAGTGGACATCCGGCCCATGGCGTATGTGTGCATTTTTCTTTGGAGGAGCTTTGAGATCGCCCCGCGTGTAGTAGTCCTGGTTCTGTTCAGCTCTGTGCTTCAGCTCTGGGTCCTGCCCGTGGTTCTGCTGAACTTCCTGGTTTTCTTCTTCTACCCCTGGATCCTCTTTTGGCACAGTCACTCCCCCTTCCCTGAGAACATAGAGAAAACCCTGAGCTCTGTCGGGACCACCATTGTGCTCTGCATGCTCACCTTCTTGTACGCCGGCATCAACATGTTCTGCTGGTCAGCGGTGCAGGTGAAACTCAACGACCCCGACCTCATCAACAAGTCCCAGAACTGGTATCGCATGGCTGTGTACTACATGCTGCGTTTCGTGGAGAATGCCTCGCTGCTTCTGCTCTGGTTCATCTACAAAACCAACATCTATGACTTCATCTATGCTCCTATGCTGGTACTGCAGCTGCTGCTGGCCTACGCCATCGCCATCTTCTTCATGCTGGTCTTCTACCAGTTCTGTCATCCCTGCAGGAAGCTCTTCTCCTCCAGCATGAGCCAGGGTCTCTGGAACTGCTCCTCCCTCCTGTGTCTGACGTGCAGCTCTTCTCCTTCACCCACCAGGTCCAAAAGAAAGACGACTCCAGAACCACCACAGCCTTCCAGGCGTGCAGATGCGGCTGCGGCTGACGACACGGGCAGCGACCACATGGAGGACGGTCCCAACGACACCACGTACGACGTCCTCAGTGACACCATTTATGACATTCCAAACGAAACTGTCAGTACTAACAACGGCGATGTTAGCACCAGTTTAACCTGCAATGTTTAGATCATCATAACGTGCCATGCAGAGGAACATTCAGCGGTATCATCCTTCACTTAAAAGTGCCACATGAGTTTACACACATTCACGTTTTATTAGAGTTTGTTATTTCTATGTGTTATTTGAATAACTGGACATTTTTCATATAGAATTAGGCAGGCTATTTTAAAAACATAGATGTCTGAGGTGATAGTATCCCAGCACTGAAGGTTTGGCTGTGTGTTCTACCACAAAGTGTCAATAGAGGTCTCCAATAAATGCTGACGGACATGTCAGAATTGGCCAGTGACAGAGCATACAACTTATTCAATTTAATCCGCAATATCAATAAAACGGTGACTTGTTGTGACCCACATTTGGTCCCCGGATAGTGGACCACATATCAAACCACAGCCAAACTTTCAAGTTCTTCCTCTCCCGGCCTCATGACCCAGTAATGAGCCACATACGCTTTTCTCACATGACCCAGATTCAGCAGTCTGTAATTACTGACCTGCATTTACTTTCCAAATGGACTTGAACTTCAAACTCCAAAGGTGGGCTGGACAAGTTCGCCTTGGTGTGGGCTGTGTCAGTGAAGGAGGTTGTGTGGCTCATCACTGGGTCAAAACAACTTTGAATCTTAGAATCATTAGAAGTGGACACTAGAAAAACACAGGTTAAGTCCACATCTAACTGTGAGGATTACTTATACACAGCAGTGTACAATAGTCTCAGTGCTTTGTTAAGTTATAAATTGTCAACAATATACAAGTCGAGAAATGCATTTTTAGGTGATCAAAGACTTCAATAATTAATGTATTTTTTATTGACACGCAATCAGCGTACAGGGCCGACTGTGTATATGTCCAGCAGGGGGTGCCCACAGCTAAGTCAGCACTGACTGTGTGACAATGCCTTCTTAAAAGTCATCTTTAAAAGTGTGTGAATTACTTGATGATGACGCTCCCCTGTGTCATCAGCACATATCTTCAACCTTTAATAAAAAAATTAAATTAAGACAAATGTTCACTTTTATGCTGCAATGCTGTTCACAAGGAACCATGCATTTGAGTTGACTGTATCTTTAGCATGGAAGTGTGCATGTACAGAACTTCTGATCAGGTATGTGTATGTTTTGTGTGTGCGGTGGGGGATTATAATACGGACATTTTTGTGAATTTTCTGCTAAATTTACAATGAAGCATCAAGCTTTTTAAACTCCTGGATGAGAGCTATATCTTGACTTATGCTGCTCTTGTGTCCATCCATTTTTTGATCACCAAATGTGCGATTGTGAACCCAGCACATTCTCCAGCACAATGTTTTTTGCACGTGTTTAACAAAAGAAAATTAAAAGCGATGTATTTCATGTTGCTTAAGCCACAACAGCTGCTTATGTGTTTGTTATTCACGCTTTGGGTGTGTTTTGTCTTTATGAGGTGTCTCTAAACTCTGTATGTTTAAAAAATGTAATAGAAATTATTTCTTTTTTTAAATGTATTTTTATTTTTATGAAAAAGGAATGCTACTGTTCTTTGCACAGCTTTTTGGAAAGATCACCTGCACAGGAAGGAATCACGTGAAAGCTTCACAGATTTTTACAAATAACACAAACTACTGTTACCGCCAAAAAGATCACGAGACATTTTCTCATACATGCTGATTACATGCCTTTAAATAGACAATTTGAAGTTTTAAAAATTGTTATATATCTAATAAAAGTTATATATTTATATGTGAAATGTGTGTATTTATTTATGGCATTATGATTGCATATTGACATAGTTAATATTGATGAAACCACCAATGCTGAGAAGTTGCAGTACAGATAAAAACTGCTGACAACATAGGTTTTTTGAATGTAGAATTAGTAATACGTCATATCAGCAGTTTTAACTAGTCAACCAGAAAATAGGTCCTTGAAACTAACTCTGTCTTTTCAGTGACAAGTAGCGAAACAATGCATTCAGCGATGCTTGTCACCTATCATTAAAAGATGTGCCTGCAGGGAGCGCATCATCGTAAACTGCTGCTTTAAATTCGTGCAATGTAATCGTGCAGCACAACTCAATTTTATTGATTTCTGTATGAAAGAAATTGCTGCACTAAAAAGACACATTTTCTATAATGTCCTTATAAAACGATAATAATGAAATGGAATAAAGCAGAGGAATGGCATGACATCGTGACAGCCAAAAAGTGTAAAATATAAAGACAACACAACAGATCAACTATGATTTGAGGAAAAACATGCATCACCTATGCTTCTTCTCTCAGCACTGACATTATCTGCTATTACATAAAGTGCTATTCTGCAGTATGTATGAAGGAGGGAAATCCATAATACATAATGTAGCAGCAGCAGACAGCAGGGAGTTTCCCCACAGTTAGAGTCCTGCCTCTGCAGTGCCAAAGACTGCTGTTATTTTTAGACCCAACTCACCTTATATATATGTTCACTGTACTCCAACAAAAACTGTTGCCGTCTTGAGCAGACTGACACAAACCCAATACTATTCCTGATAAAGACAATTAGTGGACCTTCATTCAGCCAAGGTAAACCTCATGTATAATTTAACTAGCCACATTTAGACACCAGGTCCTCTAAGGACACCTGGTGCTGGTAGCTTAAATTTAAAAAGCAACAAAAGCAGGTACACACATAAAAACACACTGATAAGACATGGGACATTCATGGAAAAAATTGGGGATGTCCGATAATATCGGCCGACTGATATTATTGGCCGATATTAGCATAATTATGTAATATCTGCAAGGATCGTTATCGGTTTTTCCTACGATAATGGACACCCAATAACGCAATACCTGTGTTTTGCCAGATGATGTCTGCACTAAAAATAGTTTTGGGGATAAACGGCTGTATATCAAAGTGAAAATCACCAGATGGCAGCATTGCAGCTCATTTTATTCATCTATTTTAATATTCAGGGGATTGTATGCAGAATGATGGTAGCAGCAACACAGTGGAAAATACACAACACAATTTGGAAAATATCGGGTATCTGCAAAAAGCTAATATCGGCTTTCCTTTAAAAAAAACATTCATAGTTCAACAGTACCTCACATTACTGTGTAACAGACTGTGAGCAACAATTTGCATAATTGTAATGCTTTAGTGAACAACTGTCTTTTAGTTTGGGATATTTGCAAGAATGTGTTCACAGTGACGTTTCAAGTTTGATGTGGTTCAAATTGTTTTCAACTCACTGAGGTAAACGTGAACACACGTGTGCGCGCACGCACACAAACTCACTCACTCTCTCACACACGTACACAAACACACACTCACCACGCCCCCTCATGACAGGAGGAAACACCCTGGCTTCTGTGTGGATCTCTGCCTTCAGACGGTGCCGTTGAGCACCGACACACAAGCACCTAGAGTACAGTCGCGTACGGACGGGCACCGTTCACCGGGTCTCCCTGCTCACCTCTGGCCGTTGTTCCACTGCTGATCCTCGGTCCCCGGTGCCGCCGCTCCGGCAGGTAAGACACCGCAGCTCCGCAGGGGGGCAGACCCGGCAGCAGCCGCTGCAGCTGCGGGACTCCGTGTTTCCTCTGTGGCATATGGCACATATGGTCAACCGCTGCCGCTCAATTCCAATGGAATTCTGCAGCATTTTTGCCATGTTTGAGTTGAAAAATGCTGGAAAACGTTGCATAGATAAAGGAATGGATGGATGGGTTGATGGAGGCAGGGGGGGAGGGAGGGAGAGGGGGGCAGTCAGCCCACCGTCACGACCACGACCTCGCAGGATTATTGATGACATGTCGGAGGGACCAGACAGCCTTTTTCCCACTTCCTACTTCCCACTTCCCAAATCCAGACAGGTGCAATGCAGCAGAAGGAAGGTCTACTTCTGCTTCTAATTCTTTTGTCTTGTCTTCTTCAGGCTTTAGACTTAATGTCTTTTTAGTGGAGGGTAATGGAGCCTGATCAACTAAAGTGTTTTAATAACTTAGTTATTACAACTAATTGCTATTACTCCAGCAGAAATTAAGGCTGGAACAACTAATTGATTATCAATTAATTACCTATTACACTAGAATAACTAGCAGGTAATTAACCAGCATGTGGGTTTTATTGTTGTTTTTTTAAGATATTGTTTGCCCTGCTTCAAGTGTAAATAATTCTTCTTCTTATTGATTGGGGCGACTGTCACTTGGTGGAAGTTTGTTCTCCACCCAGAGGCTCATTGGTTTGAATTCAGCCGCATTATGAAGGGCATCCGGGGTAAAAGCTGCCCCAACAGCATTATGTAGAATCTCTACTCCGTGGGACCAGAGTGAATATCAGTGGAATTTCTTTTAGTTCAAGTAAGCCGTTACTGTAGTAGACTGGTGACCCCCTTAAGCCCCCTTATCTCGCCCCATTAGTGATTGGCTAAGACTTGCTCTCAGCTCTTTGTCTTTTAATTAATGTCAGCAGATGTAATAGAGTGGATTTAGATGACACACCTGGTGTACAAAATGATCTGATGGAAATGTGAATTCTTAGAGGGTATTTATGTGCAACTGGAAGGTCTGGGGTTCAATTCCCAGCACTGACTTTCTGTGACTGACCATCATCAAATATGGACCAATCACCTGTATACATTCAACTGAATCATGAGTATTTATATTGGTTGCAAGAGTTGCTCGATTTGTGCTCATGTTCCCACAGTGTTCCAGTACAACCAGCCCTTAAACAGATGGAGTCATAAAAGGTGTAAACGTTTGTGGCATCCTTAGCCACATCATTTTCTGTCTGACTTCGAGCTGATTAGTACTCATTTAATTTATTGTGCAGACAAAAAAAGACCAAACTGCTTCTGTAAAGAGCACACATCACTCCAGTCCGACAGAGTGCCTGCAGCTGAAGAAGCGTAGCTTCACAGACTAAAGTGTGGCCAGTCATTCATTTGCTTCCCATTGTCCATCAGTCCTGAGTCTGAGCAGCTAACCAGACGTCTCTGAGCTACAGATGAAAACAAAACATTTGCACTAATTAGTGAAAAATCACTAGTTCATTCGTTATGATTACTTTTACAGAGGGGCGTTTCATATTTGAGCAGGGACAGCGTGCGTGGCTTGCATGCAGAGCGGTTTTCTCCTTACATGATGTAAGTCACTGTGATGTACCATCATTTGTCAAAGTGACGCTCCCCTGAATTGGTTCCTTTGGCATTGAGAAGTAAACGCAGTGTTCACTGAGGCTGTTTCTTCACTGTCATTGAGAGAGAACGCCTCCCTAATAATGCCATAGAGTTTTCACTGCACACATACACAAGGCAAAGGCAGTGGGCGAGATAGATGGGTGAAAGTAAAAGCCAGGAGAGGAATTCCCTCATTTCTCATCTCCCTCTCTGTCTCTCTTGCTCTCTCTATCAGTCTCTCACTCTCTCTTTTCCCACTAGAGTAGAGGAGATCGGCCAGTGAAGCTGAAAAAATAAGAATTAAACAAAGCTCACGGGAAAGCAGTCATACAGAGTTAGAGGTCTGCTGTCTCCAAGATCTGTCAGGACTAAGGTGGTGTGTGTGGGTGTGTGTTTAACAAGCATGTACTGTATATTTGTAAGAGTAATTTCCATGTGAGGGTAATGTTGTTTGCAGAAATTAGCAAAAGCTTGTAGCATATATATATATATATATATATACATATATATATATATATATATATATATATATAAAACATCAGAATTAGCCTTTACAACATGTCCAACAGAAGTTTACAATACTGCTGTAACATAAAGGTTTTGCATAAGCTCATTGGGGATGACCAGTTAGACCGGTATGTAAAATGCTATAAGTAAAATGTATAGACAAAAACATCACCTAATCTTCACAAAATAGCCCAAAAAAGTTAAGTTACTAGTTAGAAAAAACTAAATGTGGCAAAAATCTGGCCTAAGTGTACCTGAGAAATAAATATATACTAAAATTCCTTAGCATGAGGTATTTTAGTATATATAAAAGTTAAGTTAGTAAAAATAAAAAAAGAGTTAATTAATCCTAAATACATCACATCATTTTTGAACAGTAGAAAACAAAAGTGAACAAAATGCTTTGTTTACAGTACAGCTCCATTTTTAAGCAATAATTGAACAACAGGATACATCATAGTTTAATTATGCTCTAAATCAGTGTGAGATAAAGTGTGAGAGTACGAATCCCTGCCAAGTTTATTTTACTGTCAATAAGGATCAAGATCAGAGGTTTTAGCCAAACTACACAGTAATACACATGTACGAACCAAAGGTCAAAATGTTAAAGTAACTTAGATTTAGGAAGTTAAGAACTAACTAAATCTAGATCTTTATATCAGGATCGTGACAAAAATATCTTCGTCTGAATCAATCACAGTGATGCTGACGTTGAAAAACGATGCTAAGGCTGTACATTAGAGATGAGGCTTCCTGAGCTGCAGCTGCAAATGTTGGATACTGAGAGCAGAGGGGCTGAAGTCTGCATAAAAGATGACAGAGATTCGTAGGCTCACATGGTTTTTCATTCATTAGTTATTAATGTATGAATTAATAAAAACGTACCCACTATATTCTACTTCTAAGTAAATGAATAGCAGTTAATATTAAATTAAACCGATTGACAGATAACAGAAATGAACTGAACTGACTCCTATGAAGAATTTACGTCTTAACCTTAGAGTTAATGGAACGTCTCACTGTCTTTGGGGTAAAATTCCTTCAAGCTTTAACTGCCAGCGTTTTGGCCAATCAGAAAAGAAGACAGGAAAGTTGGAATTCAATTTTGCAGTTAGCATGAACGTAATTACAGCCCTTCTGAGCAAAACACTGTACACACTGTTTAAAAAGGCAGCAGTGAAGGCTGCAGGGTCGACATAAACCCTCATTATTTCACATCTTTCACTGCAATAAAAAAAGGCTGCTTATGGCAAAATACCACATAACACATTTGCATTGTTATTCAGGACACAAGGAACCAAGTCAACACGCACACAGTGGTAAACAGGATAAACCCCTGCATCTGTCAATAAGTCGCAATCTGCACTGACTGTCAGTGATTTGTGTCCAGTAGAACTAAGGTGTTATTACAGCTCTTATACTTGGCTAAATCCTGAGCTGCTGTAACAAAACCTGTCGGTGCTGCTGATGCTGCTGCATCGACTAATGGGTGTTTTCTCTCTCCCTCCCTCTCTCTCTCTCTCTCTCCCTCTCTCTGTCTCTGTGGTGCCGTGTTGTGCGGAGTTTCCCCTTCCTCCCACGCACCCAAGCCTGGTCTTATCCAAGGCTCTCCAGCGACGGCTACGTAACTGCTCCTGTGTTTGCAGTATCCATACAGTGGCTGGGCCTCAGAGATGCAGCGCTGTGTTCCCCTTTTAATAACGAATGCTGCGAGGCAATCAGTGGAAGCCTGCTCATGCTTCAACCCCCCTGCTGGTGTAGGAGTGGGTAGACACGTAGGAAAGTAGGAGCAGCAGCAGCATATGGAGGCAGTGATGAGAGGGAATGACTCAGTAGGGTAATAGATGGCAGGTCAGGGCGTGACCTCGCTCTGATTCTTTACCTGAAGCTCTCCTTTCAGAGGACACATGCCTGTGTGGGTGATGTGGGGCTGAAGTGACCTACTGAGGGCGGAAGAAAGAAAAGGACACTTCAACCTAGGCATCATCCCCAAGGTAATGCACGTGTCTGTAATTCTCTGATGAAAATATAAGAAGATTTGCAACAAAAACTTCCTGTAGTCTTCGACTCCTGGAGTTCGAGAGAACCTGGACGAGGCCAGTTTTTTTGGGCAGTGGTTGCTTAGTGGTTAAGAAAGACCTCGGAATGTTTCAGGTTCGAGTCCACCAGCTGCCAATGTATACCATACCATGTATTTCACTTTAGTCTGTGTCAAAACAAATTTGACAGAGGGACAACGTTTAAGGTCTGAAAAAAAATCAATATACCAAAAAAAAGCAACAACAATGTTGGGAAATGCAGGACAGAGACAGCGACGCACACACAGGTGGTCAGAGCAGAGGCATGTGACTCCGCTTGCAATCAGGCCAATATTCTGCCTTGTGGTAACTGATTTAGTTGGTTTATAAGGTTGTTTGTCCTCCTGACAAGGTGAAAGAATTTACCTCATATTCTTTCAAATTAAGCCTGCGTGACTGTACCTCAGCCTCTCAGTTAAACCTCCACGAGGTTAAAATCCGGGTTGACACCACTTCAGCTGTCACTACTGAAGAAGCTGAGAACATGAGAGGTGAAACGTCTGCATCGAATGGATTAAAGAAAATCTATAAAGTCACAACATGCACATCATGATATTATTAGTTCCCAGGTCCAAGATTACAACCAGCAACTGGATCAGTGACAAAGTCAACACAGCAAAGAGTACATCAAACACAGACATGACGTTTATCAATTGTAATGAAGGGGATTTATCAGTTATTGTGTGTTTACCAGATCAAGAGCAGGTGAGGTGACAAAGAGAGAGAACTTCATGTCATGCAATGATGAAAAAATTATATGAAAAGG